CATGGTTCAGCCCCTCGTGCAAAATTCTAGTTTGCGAGAGCAAATTACTGCACGCAAAATTGGATCTTGATAAATCCGGCCCAGAGTGTATACAGCTTACAACAGTGAAATTAACATTACCATTATAAAGTGCAGCACTTTGAATATTGCCTTAATACAGCCCATGTTTTTTTTTTAAGTTTATTCTGTAAGTCCTGACATTTGAAAAAGTGAAATCCAAGCTCAATTTGAGTTACCTTTTATGTTTTGAGCCTCCACCCTTTTCTCGTTCTACCTCCACAGGTGAAGTATGACTTCCTGTACGACCACTACCATGTGTGCTGCCAGGAGAGTTGGAGTTCACTGACCTATAGACAGGCATACACCACCTTCATTATGGTGGCTCTTTTCCTACTACCTTTGGCGGCCATGCTGTTCCTCTACACACGCATCGCCATCGAGCTGTGGATTCGTAAGAGGGTGGGCGACGCTTCTGTTCTGAACACTATGAACCACAGGGAGATTGGTAAGATCTCCAGGTGGGTTTCTCTGCAGGAGTGTACTTCAAGTAACAAGATATTTGCTAACATTTATATCCTGTGCGTAAAGTTATTTTTTTTTTTTGTCTTGCTTCTGTATTCCTAATGGAACTGGTGCAAAGAAAAAGACGTGTAATTTAAGGCATATCGATTGGATAGTGTCATAACCTGACTAAGGCTGCAAGAAAAAGGGAGATAGACCAGAACTATCAGAACTCACAGTAGGTCCCCCCCTATGTGCAAGAGTAAGAACATGGGCCGCTAAATGGTAAAGGATCAATGAGGTCAAAAGAAGGCAGGAATGTAACTGGCTGGAAAGGAACATTTTAAAACCTTAATTAGGCTAAAGGCCTAGCTCCCTGAAAAAAGAGAACAGCAAAAATCAGGACAATTAGTGGACTGGAGCGGTAGTTCCGGTAGATAATTCAGATAGGAAAAGTACAGAGCCTGGAAACTGACATGGAGAAAAATATATTTAGTGTGCACGAAAAATGAAGTACTTCTTCGTAGAAACAAAACACTAATTCCTGTCCATGACATTTTGACTTGGGGCCAAAAAATATATATAGAACATGCCCTCAAGCTATTAATTCCTGCCCACAGAGTGCTTATTTGAGACCACAACATAGATATGAAATATATTGTTTAGCAGTGCAGGATTTTAGGGGGTGGGGGGGGACCCTTTTTTTTCTTTTTTTTGTAACACAATAAAGTCTGTTTTTACAGTAATGAAAACATTTGGGGGTTTAGCCTAACCCACCTTTCTCTAATTCCTTCTTTAGAATTTGACCTTTAGAGACTGTAGTCATGCATTTTTCCCAAAGTGCTCATTACTCTCCCAGCACTGACTTAATTTTATCCCACAAACACCTGCTTAATCACAGCCTCTCTAAATGAACTCTAAATTAAGTTGGTAGAGGAGAATCTCACACCCAAATCAGGCTTTTTTTTTTAAGCCATGGGAACCAGTGAAGATCGGAGCTCTAAGGCCTGAACCTCCACTCTGGGTTAATAGTCTGTATTCAACACTATTTGTATAGGTTTCACCATTTAACCCTATTGCTTGTAGTCAGGGCTGTATGCAGTCTATATGCGACTGCCCAGACCACAAACGTAAAGCATTTCCTTACGCTGAACAACTTTAGAGTTAATCGTCGCCATGCATACGTAAATACGTGCTCAGAGGCGCCCTAAGCACCACAGAGAGGAAATAGGAGAAACTCAGCCTCTGACTGGTCAGAGCAGAGGCTGTTGGGCGGAGCTACCCTATCCTTTCTTTGCCTGTAACAATGGCAGCTATATTTTCTGTGATCAGTGGATAAAAAGTAGTTTTTGTATGTTTTTAAGTGAGAAAGTCAACCTGAAAACTTAATCTGTGCAGTCAGTTCATCAAGATTACAATCCTGCCTTTAAATATTATTTCCCTGTCGGAGAAGCTGAGACCTCCATGCACGTGCGGTGCTCTGTCACTGCGGGAATCCTGTTCAACAGCAGCCTCTGGTCTGGTCGCCTCTTCGCGGTTTTCCTCTACTGTTCATGGCAACTGGAAGTAGATGTTAGCATTTTTCATGTACTTAATCCAAACAGCAGGAACCAGAATAATAAAATCGAAAACATATTTCGCCGGCAGGTTTCGACATTTTAAGTTAATTTAGGCGTTAATAAATTGTTTCAGAGGAGTGATCATAGAGATATGCATCAGCAATGCTGTGTCCGTCTCCCTGCCAGCTCCCTGATCAGCTTCTCTGATTGGCTGATGTAACGTGTTAAGCAAAAGTAAAATTTTTCTAGCAGCTCTAGCAGCTGCTGCTTCTGAAGCTCGCCGGAAGCTCAGAAGTCCTTGATACGCGTCAACTATTGACTTTGCATGTAAACTAGCTGCTTCTGCTGCCTCTGCTGCTTGCGGTCTGAACGTAGCATTAGACAATAGGTCCTTTAAATTTTTTTATTTTATTTGTTATTTTAAAGAGATCACCCTTACAGAAAAGGTCCTTTTCTCTTCCTCCTCTGCTTGCATCTAAGTGTGCAAAATGTGGTTGCCTTTAGGATGCAGAAATACTGACAGAGATGTAATGAGTTCACTTCTTTGATGCATTAGTACATCACACTGCATATTCTGTAAACATACCTCCCAGAATTTCACGTTGAGACAAACTTGTCAGCTGGACATTGGCAGGTGTTATCTTGCTTTATCCTGGTGAAGATTCTCAGTCATCCAGGTCAGTTATTCCAAAAAAAGTAAAAAAGAAACAACATACTGGACTTTGTTTCCAAGTTTAAAGA